TCTCAGAATTATATAGCGTGTGTGCAGCACATTAGCCATAGACGCTGATGATAACGTAATGAAGAAGAACAAATTTAATAAGCCACGGGTTAGTGGCTGGTTGGTTCAAATCCGACCGGAGCTGAATTTGTTTCTTAAAAAAATGACCTTGGCTCCCAGGTTGACCCAACCTTAAATGGGTGCCAGAAATAGTCCTGGGAAATAAAGGCGCTTGAGATAATGTTGACTATATCACCCACCGAGTGCTGATTGGTCTATAAAATTTAGGTCAAATACAGTCTACCCATTACACCTTAAAGTATGTAAAAGGGTCATTTTACATCCCCATACTCATTTCTCATTAATTTTCCATACAGAAAATACCCCAAATACCCAAGCTCATAAAACTGGTATTAGAAAAGTAATATAACAATTATTTACTAAGGGTAAAGAAGATAATAAGTTTTTCTGGAGAAAAAAAAAACAGTAAAAAAAAAAAGAAACTGGTTACCCGGTTCTTAAAGCAATGACCTAGTGATAAATACTGTTCTTTAGCCCTCTTCTATTTTTGTGCTTAAAGGGCAGTTAGCATGTTTGGTGTGGTTTACAGCTAGGCTGCAATTTATGTGCCTTCCGACCCAGTGCGTCAGATTTCAGCAGAACCCTAATTAGTCACCTTTTCTGACAGGCTTTTAGGGGACAGTGGATTTACTTTTTTTCACCCTAGAATGGAGACATGGAACCGTCACAGAAAATAAGTAATGGCACTATGAAAGTATTTAACTTCACACCGTCTGCTATTTTAGATTTAATATTGTTTCCTCTGATATCAAATTCTATTCATATTATAGGAATGCCAGTAATAATTTTTTTGTTTATTACAAGGTGTGCTGTAGCTGGCTGGAAGCTAAGAAAAGATGGATCGGTTTCTGTTTACATCACTGACACGATGCTGCCGATATTGCTTCCATACATTGTGTCGAAACTACAACAGCCATGCAGTTCTAGGTTCTGTAGCAAGGAGCAAGCATCAGGTTAGTGTCTTCAGAACTCTGGGTCTGAAAAAGAAGAGGGCATCATTATCATCATCAAGTTCCTTGATGACAGAAATGGCTGATAATGCCTTTCCACGTCTTGCAAAAATCTAGCACAGTGTATCAGTTGATATCACCACCTTTCTGAATCACGACAATAGCTGCCAGGAATATTATGTTGTTGTCTTCCTCTTTATCTATTTCCTTCAATGTTCCCAAGTGCTACCTTCAGTGCCTCACTGAAAGAACCACTGTACTTCAGTACATGAATAACCAGAGAAAAGGTCTCAAAAAGTTGGAGTTGAGAGGATCGATTTCATAGTACTGGATTTATTAAATATGGCTCGGTCCTTCACCACAGATGAGTCGCCTGTCGCCTGTCATGGGCACAGCACAAAGCGGAAATTTAAATATTTCCGGTTACTGCTTCCAAATGACAACAATACCTCGGTTTAAGAACTAGTGTACTTCGATACATCATAAGCCAGAAAAAGGTATCAGAAAGTTAACAGTCAGAAAGTTAATGTTCGTCAAAAAGTTAACGTTAGTCAAAAAGTTAATGTTAGTTGAGAAAGTTATAGTCAAGAGGGTCAGCTTCATTGCATTGGGTTTATACCATGTGGCTCAGTCTCTCACCACAGAACGACAAGCCATCTGCCAAGATCACAGCACAAAGCATGAACCCATTGCTCCACTGACGATCTTCAGGGGTCTCTCTGAATACTGCACTCGTGAACTGAATGATGTAGCCATGAATGAGCCCACGACCTTCAGAGCATGAGACAAATATGGCTTGACCATTTCACCATGGAGACCTCCACAAATCATTAGAAAAGTCTGTACCCCACTTGAACCTCATGGATATCCGCAAAAAATTGCACTCCTGAACTAATTTGAGCAGTACAAAAATGAACCAATGATCTTCATATTGTAAGGCTGATGTCAGCTGCCTGCTGCAAAGGTCCCCTGTCTGTGCAAGACATGTTTTTAATGAGGAGAAGGGTGAGTATAATAAATGTGGTCTCATATTCACACGTAAATACTGCACTCATGAACTAAATGATGTAGCTATTAATGAGCATGAGGAAAATGGCTTGACCACTTCTCCGCAGAGACCCTCACAAATCATTAGACAAGTCCGTACCCCACTTGAACCCCAGGAATCTCCCCAGAAATTGCACTGCTAAACAGAGTGATTGCAGTTCAAAAATGAAACTATACCATATTGTAAGGCTGCTCTGCCACAAAGGCCCCCTGTCTCTGCAAGACATGTTTTTAGTAAGGAGAAGGGTGAGTATAATGAATTCACTCTCGCTCTTCACACATCAAACTTTATGCATGCCACTTGTATTTTTTTTTAAATTTCCTCATATTTTTGGCTTAAAATATGATTCACGTGAGATGACTAAGATTGAAATTCCTATATTAGGTGACCCATCATCTTCAGCCATCAGTGTTTTCATCGCCTGCCGGTCTACCCCCTGTGCGTATCTCCCTGAGAAGAAGATTTGCAACACAGTCAGACAACACAGGACAGAAAGTGGAGCCAGGAGTGGTGAACATTGTAAGTTAATGTTTTTTTCTTCTTTTTTTTTTTGTTGTTGTTGCTACATAACATTTGATGTCTGTTGTTTGTTGTTGTTGCTACATAACATTTGATGTTTGTTGTTGTTGCTACATAACATTTGATGTCTGTTTGTTGTTGTTGCTACATAACATTTGATGTTTGTTTGTTGTTGCTACATAACATTTGATGTCTGTTTGTTGTTGTTGCTACATAACATTTGATGTCTGTTGTTTGTTGTTGTTGCTACATAACATTTGATGTTTGTTGTTGTTGCTACATAACATTTGATGTCTGTTTGTTGTTGTTGCTACATAACATTTGATGTTTGTTTGTTGTTGCTACATAACATTTGATGTCTGTTTGTTGTTGTTGCTACATAACATTTGATGTCTGTTGTTTGTTGTTTACTTCTTCTTTCTTGCAAGAAAGGTGACTGTTCTCTAGCTTCTTCAGTACCAGAAAATTACACAATTTAAGAGAAAAACTACACACACAAGCTTGCATGGCTATAACTGTTCTACCGGGAGAGACTGAGCCATATGGGATAAAACCAGGTGAAATGAAGTTGATTCTTTTGACTTTAACCTCTAACTTCAACCTTAACAAACTTGGGTGCATTATTTTTAAATAGTCTAAATGTGCAGTTTCAGTGGCCACTGAGGACAGCATATTTATTTAGTGTTTTGTGACCAAATATAAAAAGTGCAAGTACACATTACATGGTTGTTTGGGATTCACGAGAAAGCACTAGTGACACATAAGGTGTTGCCTGGGTCTGAGGGAATTCAGTGGGAAATAACATAAGAGGAAGAACTCCAGAATGGGAGCATGCGCAGCAGGAGTCTGCCGATCTTCAATAGGTGGGTCCCATTCCAACATTTGTTTCGGCCCTATCATCCATCCTAGACACTCTCAAGGGGTGGGCTGGCCTGGATTCATGATTGCCAGACCTTGGACTCTCCTGCTGCACGTATTGGACAAGACGAAATGGTGGATTTGCATCAGGTGCTGAGGTTATGTTGTTTTTATATGTGGGAACATATACTAGGTGCACGTTTGTAGTAGAACCAGGCTCAGACTGTGCTGAGGTTATGAACATGTAACAAGTTAGTTGTAATCCTTTACAGCATCAACCCCAGTATTTATGTGTGTATGTGTGTGTGCACGCGCGCTCTTTGTGATTTCACTCAGCAAATTTACATTCAGCACTTTGCTGTTATTCCTGAAGGAGTTGACTCTCGAACCACCGTCGAAACAAACACAATGTGGTCTGCTGTCAGATCGACCGCTGCTGGCATCAGAGCCAAAATCTCAGAATTACAAAATGTGTTTGCAGCACATTAGCTATAGACGCCGACAATAATGTAATGAAGAATAAAAAATTTAATAAAGCACATAAAGAACATATAATAAAAACATGTAATGAAGAACATGTAATAAATAACGTGTAATAAAGAACATATAATAAAGAAAAATTATAAAGATCATTTAATAATAAACATGTAATGAAGAATAAGTAATAATGAACATGTAATGAAGAATAAGTAATAATGAACATGTAATGAAGAATAAGTAATAATAAACATGTAATGAAGAATAAGTAATAATAAACATGTAATGAAGAATAAGTAATAATGAACATGTAATGAAGAATAAGTAATAATGAACATGTAATAAAAAAAGAAAGAATGTAGTGAAGCACACAAATAACAACATATAATAAAGAACATGTAATAAAGCAGGAGAAAAGTCTGGTTACTGAATTGTTTGAACAGTTTGAGAACCCTTGTTGCTGGAACTTGTAAAAAGTAAGTCTGTGACATAGGTTGCAGCACTCTCTAGGGCGATTGTGGGTTAGACCCAGTTTTTAAATGTTTTTGTAATGTTTAAAGTGGTGGCATGCTTAAAAATACAACATGCGATATGAACAGATTGCCGAACACCCCCCTAACTGCGTGAGAAGGTCGAGTGACTGAAGGCCGACCACTCAGAAGCGAGACAGTGTGTACCATGGGAAGGTTAACGTAGATCATACCGATGACTCATTTTTATAGACCAGTTAGTACTTGGTGGGTGATGTGATCAGCACTTTGAGGCTGCCTTTATTTCCTAGGACTTTACCTGGTACCCCATTTAAGGCTGGGATGACCTGAGAGCCAAAGGTCATATTTTGAGAATAAACGGACTTATGAAGGTTAAGACTTGTGACTTTTGTGCTAGCTGGTGGAGCATCTAGCCACTACACCACCATTGCTCCTTGTTGAAACTTAGTTGGTTGAGAATCCATTGGAAGACTGAGCTTCATTAGTCCTTTGAGTTTGCATTAATAAGTCACTACAGTGTTCCAGAAATGTTTTCAGTGTTCAGGTTTCCTAAGCTGCAGGATTATTGCATTTTAATTCTCCTCTATCTTCTGAATATTTAGTATAAATTACATAAAATATGCAGCATCCGTGGCTTAGGCATTGCGAGTCCGACTCGTAATTCCAGCGTACCGCAATCCAAACCCATTGCTGGCTGCATGGATTTTTATTATGGTCTGGGGCGCCAGGATAGCTGTCATGGGGAAGTAAAGACGGCCGGCGTAATGCTGACCACATTACCCACCTAGTGCCGATTGGTCTGTAAAAATATGGGATGCTCTTCCCCTATACCCGATGCACTTTACTTACTTACTTTACATAAAATATAGGTAGAGGGCAGTCAGAAAATATTTCTTCAACAAATAAACATAATTGCTATTCTGCTGCATTAGGGAAATCTCTGTATTGGTTCCAGTTGTAGGGAACAAAATAATAGACACACTGCCCCTTCACCCCTCCAACAACGTATCATCAGAGTAGACTAATTAGGGGGGTTTCTTCTAAATCAGGGTGTAACAGCTTGGGAGGTGAGAAACCAACAGTTGGCATACAAATAAGCCAGATCTTTCAAACTGATGTGCATACAAAACTAAAGTTCTGGAACAAAACAAAGTCTAGAAGTAGATGAACAACCAAAACTTTCCTCCAGAGTTTACAGCTGGTGAAAACTAAGAAGAATAAAAAGGAAGATTTATTGATAAGAGAAATACTAGATGTGATTGTTAAAATTTTTTTGTTCCTTCTAAAGTTTAATTGAAATTGTTGAAATGTTTTCAGCCATTCTGGGGAAGGCTGCTTATTGTTTCAGGCATTGGGGGGATCGTCTACTATATCTATCATAACGCACAACAGATCAAAGAACTAGGTGAGTCTGACCATGTTATTATTATTCGTAGATACTCCTCTTCTTGGTCCTGGGGCCCCATTGTGGGGTTGGGGAGGGGGAAGGGAATCAAGAAGAGACCCACTCCCTCTCCAGCAAGCATGTTGTAGGAGTCAGCTAATTGGAGCCTATATCTTTCCCGTAGCAGTGAATGGATGTGGGTAGTGGACTATCTCATAAACATTAAGGAAATAGGGGCTTTTTAACTGCTCTGTTATAGAAAGATTCTCTGGACCAAGAAGAAAAGAAATACTGACAATCTGAGAGGTCTGAACAGAAGAGAAAATCGGCTTGTAAACAGCATCTTGTCTTGGAAACTGTGTCCATATCAAGCAGCACAGCCGATTATGTAACCACATGTACACAAAATTCAATATCAGCCATGTGCACCTGTGGAAAGGTGCCCAAGACAGCAGAGCATAACATAGATATTTTTTCAAGGTAGGGCACAGATCTTGTCAACACTTGTGAACCAAGTATACTAACTTCTTGATGCTTGGTAACCTCATAGTTTGTCCGTTAGGATAACAAGACACATTGTCTACATTTTGATTTATCATCATTAGTTTCCACTTCTGCCGTTAAGTGTTGTGGGGAGGAACAGTTTGTGATCCATTGCTTGATAGGCAGCAATGGCTGCTGTCATTCCTGGTTGATGTAGAAGCTCTTTAATGTTATCATTCCATATTCTCCTAGGACAGTTTCTTGCTTTCACTGCGGATCCTTTCATGTGTAGCGCCTGCATTGGTAGTTGTTGTGGCTGCATTCTTACTAAATGACCAAACCATTTGATCTTCTGTTTCTCAGTGAATTTGCTGCATGGTGTTGTTCCTACACTCTGTCTGATAATATCATGTCTAACTTTGTCTTGGATGGTTAAGTTGGCGGTTTTCTCCTGCATCTCATTTCACAAGTGTTAGTTTTATGTAGGTTAGTCTTTGATAATGTCCAAGTCTGGCACTGATGGCACAGTGTTGGTGTGAATATGCTGTTTATAATATGTTTTTTTGGCGCTTATACTTATGTTTGGATGTCTTAATAACGATGTCAGTTGCACTGGCGCATTAGCATCTTGTTTCTATTTCCCGATCTATTCTTCCATCCTCTGAGAATACACTTCCTAGAAATTTAAATTCTTTAACTTGCTTGAGACTGGTACCATTCAACATGATATGTAGCAGACTAAGAAATCTGCTGGCCTGCACTACTTCAGTTTTGGTAGAATTCAATTCCATGTTATATCTTCTGCATGTTGAACTTAGCCTGTTCAGATGTTCTTGAAGTCTACTCCCCCTAATATAGGCACTGATCGTCTGCAAATAGTTGCTCATTTATTGTGTGTGAATCAATTCTAATTCTTACTTTGGAAAGAAAATTTTCCTCATTTTCTGAATGTTCTGGGTGGAATGTCTTTAAAGCTGGCTTTTAACAATATTCTATCTATGTATATATTGAATAAAAGAGGAGACAGCACAAATCCCTGCCTCACCCCTGTATTGATTGTAACCATATCAGACACACCTTCTTGTGTTTTCACTGCACTTTGGGAAGCGTGGTAATGGCCATGATGTTATCTAGTAACTGTTCTTGTATCCCATAATCCTCAAGAATAGTGTATTGATTGTGGATAGATATTCTTTGTGGCCAGCATGCATTGTTCTTAACACAGTCTAGAAATATGGCTGGCGGTAAGATTTCTGGTAAGAATAGATCTTATTGCCTTCTATTGTACAAGTGGAGTTTCATCAGGGATGTAGATGCTCTGGATACATTAAATAGGATTGGCCCCTTTCCATCTTTCTAGACAGTAGTGTTAAATTGCGCTATGAAAAAGCAGGGCACTCACAGCCCATAACGATGGCGAGTGTGACTATCAAGACAGACTATTAATATCAGGGATGAAGTTCCTCCTCTCCATAGCACAAAGCCTGGGCAGTATTGTAGAGACCATATGTTGCCCAGGCATCATGATCTATATTTTTCGATCTGCCTTGTTTACTCCAGACGAAAGGTAACACCAGTACATTTGGAACAAAAAGAAGCTTCCGGATCAGAAGAGCAGTGCTCTGTCTGTACACCTGTGGGAGCTTCCCTCCTAGACCAGCTGCCAGCCAAGGTTAAGGGCCTGGCTTGCCCTGCCCTGCTATAATGTACAGTTTTCAGGTTACATTTCCTCTTTCTTGGGAAATTACATAAGTATTGAGGCTGTAATATCTGTTTAGAAATGGCTGTGAACACCTTTTTGTATTTTCAGAGAAGGAAGAGTACAGATACAAAGAGTTAAAGAAAGTCCAGCTAGGAGGGGACTGGACCTTGACGGACCACAATGGCAACAAACGGTCTAGCACAGACTTCCGTGGTCAATGGGTGGTCATGTACATGGGCTTCACACATTGTCCAGATATTTGTCCAGAAGAGATGGAGAAGCTAAGCAAGATAATTGAAAACTTTGGTAGGTTCTTTTTGTATTTCGTTTTTTGCAATATCATGATCATCAGATGCCTTGCTTGTTTAGAGTTGGTGCTTCTTCACAAATTTAGCTCCTTTGTGTTTTAATTCAGGCCCAAAACTATGGCCTATGGGCCTTAACTAGCTTGTCAAGCAATTTTTACTGGCTTATGAGGCTGGGGTAAAATGTTGTACAATCTGGCCCTTAAGCTCACAAAATAGCAGAGCACATAAACTTTCCTTTCCCCCTTCCTTTCTCTCGGAAATAGCATTTGTACAAATAACCAGCTTAAACAGACACATTTAGGAATATAAAGAAGAGCTTCAATAGGTGAGTATGTCTAGCCAGAGGCGTAGCAAGGGGTTATAATTGTCGATTACCCTACGCTAATATTGTGTTAGGAGGGAAGCTGGGTGTTATGTTTATAATATTTTTTTTTCCTAAATGTCCCACAACTAGGTTGATCATTCTAGATTTGACCCTCCGACTACAAAAAGGTTGCCCATACCTGTTATAAATCAATACTATTGATGATATTCTTCTGTGTCACAACCTTGAACTCCCAGCATCAGTTCTTCTGTAATAAATCCTGCCTGGAAGAAAAGAAGAAAAGATTAATGAGGAAGAGAAGCTATAGGAACAGAAGCAGCAGACAAGCAACAGTGATGAAGAAACAATATTTATTGTAACATTTTTTATGTAACTCTGTTACAGACAATGATCCTCAACAGCCCAATCTACAGCCGGTGTTTATAACATTAGACCCAGAGAGAGATTCACCAACAGTAATTAAAGATTACTTGAAAGGTAACCAGGAACTCCCAGCTGATTTGTTTTTGAAAGTTTTTTTTTTTTGGTTGAAGCTTGTGGTTTTAGTCTAAAAATGTGATGATACTAGTAAGGACATGGCATGCAATTGAATTGTTTGTGTACATATTTTTAAAAAATTAAAATTTTTTTATATTTTATTATTTAAAAAAACCAAAAAGAAGTAATATGAGACTGAAAAAACACACATTTAAATTCTTAAAACTCTTCAGCCTAGCTTACAGTTCTCAGCATAGCTTACAGCTCACAAAACAAATCACATAGTGACAGAAGCCATAGAAGAGGAATGAAAAACTGAATGACAAGGTACAAAATTGAACTCTGACCTTTGGAGCAGAAGAAGAACATCTTGACCATTCCACTATGGAGTCTTCCAGATTCAGGGCGGCTTTCTTGCACTCTAAACTTTATGTATTCATTTTCAAGGGTGCAATTTTATTATTTTTATTGTTTATCTTTGGAGCAACTTATATACCAACTGACACCATTATTAAGTCATCCAAACATAAGTGTGACTGCCACAAAACAGAATACAAACAGCTATTCATCGCAATTTTACTACCAGTGCCAAACTTGGACATTATCAAAGGCTAACTGATGTAAAATTAACATCTGTGAAATGAGATGCCCGACAGAGTGAGAATGATACTATCACACAGACTGTGTGAACAACACCTTGTGTCATTTTCATTGAGAAACAGAAGATCAGATAGTTTAGTCATCTCATTAGAATGCAACCAGAACAATTACCATTGCAGGCCGCTACATATGACGCTTACAAGCAAAAGTAGAAATTGATGATGATGAGATTGGAGCAATAGGGTTTATGCTCAGTGTGAACTCTAAGCAGGCAGTCATTCTGCTGTGCGTGGAAGAACTGACCCAGATGGGATAGAATTTTGGCAAGGAAATCAGTCCTTCCACCTTGATTGAAGTCTTTTAGCCTTGGCAGGCATTACTTTAGCACATTGTATCCTAAGCTTTTATTACTGAAAGTAAGACATGTCTAGGTCTGAACAGGTAAAAATAATAACACTGTAGGACAGGGCTATTCAGCTAAGTTTACTCTGGGGCCAAAATGTTGTAAATGACGATTATCACGGTCCAGAGATCCAAGCCCTATCATAAGAAGATCATTAATATAATACAGTTGGCTGTGATCCGTGGGCTACTTGCTTTGCTTTAGGGGCTGCATTCGGCCCGCAGGCTGCCAGTTCTCATATTGGTAATTGTTACTGTTTTCCTTATTTTTTTTTCTCTCTTGTCTGCACTTGCCATGAAATATGAATGTATCAGAAACACTAGAATTAAATATTTGTAGGCTTTTGATATTTGATGTTTCCTTTGAAGTCGGAGTGCATCTGCTCGAGAGGCAGGGAGCCCAGTCTGCATACAAATAAGTCAGATATGTAAAATTGATGTGCACATAACACTCAAGCTTTGGAACAAAACAAAAGTCCATAAGTGGATGAACAATCAGGACTTTCTGCAGTGAGTGCTAAGACAAAAAAGAAGATATCTTAAATTTTTTAAATTTCATATTTGTGTTCACTTTTCATGTCAGCCATGTAGCACATTACAGTGCATAGGTCTCAGAGGTGATGAATTTTCTGCACACAAATCTGTTTTATTTTGTCCCCTAGTTAGTTTCTGTTTTTTTTCTATGTTTCAGATTTCAAACCACCACGTATTGTGGGCTTCACAGGAAGTGATGATGAGATACGAGAAGTGGCTAAAAAATACCGGGCATATTATGGGAAAGGAGAACGGAATTCTGACAACGACTATATTGTATGTATTTCTATAGACCAATGATGTCACAACTTGAAAGTATATGACGGGAGAAATAGAGGAAGACAAAGAAACTTTCAGCTTCTTCTTGTGGCATGAAAGGGTGTTAGCGGGCAATTGTATGCATGCAGTTAGAGATTGGGAGATGTGTTAGCACATAGTTTATACATGCAGTTAGAGATTGGGAGATGTGTTAGCACAGTTTATACATGTAGTTAGAGATTGGGAGATATGTTAGCACACAGTTTATACATGCAGTTAGAGATTGCGAGATGTGTCAGCACACAGTTTATACATATAGTTAAGAGATTGCGAGATATGTTAGCACACAGTTTATACATGCAGTTAGAGATTGGGAGATATGTTAGCACATAGTTTATATATGCAGTTAGAGATTGGGAGATGTGTTAGCACACAGTTTATACATGCAGTTAGAGATTGGGAGATGTGTTAGCACATAGTTTATGCATGCAGTTAGAGATTGGGAGATGTGTTAGCACAGTTTATACATGTAGTTAGAGATTGGGAGATGTGTCAGCATACAGTTTATACATATAGTTAGAGATTGGGAGATGTGTTAGCACACAGTTTATACATGTAGTTAGAGATTGGGAGATGTGTTAGCACACAGTTTGTACATGTAGTTAGAGATTGGGAGATGTGTTAGCACACAGTTTATACATGTAGTTAGAGATTGGGAGATGTGTTAGCACACAGTTTATACATGTAGTTAGAGATTGGGAGATGTGTTAGCACACAGTTTGTACATGTAGTTAGAGATTGGGAGATATGTAGTTAGAGATTGGGAGATGTTTTTTTTTTTTTTTTTTTTAATTTTTTAATTTAATCGATCACCGGCTGTGAATTCCAGTGGAAGGTCCCGGTTAATCGTCCGCTTGGACTTTTGGCTTTCACCTGGACCTGATTTTTGCGTGTACAACCGTTTTTCATTTCCCTGCCTCATGGGCAGCTGTACTCCGACTTCGAAGGAAGACGTCAGGCCTATTTCTAGGTTGACTGTGGCCATTGTTTTGTGTGGGTCGTGATGTTTCCTGATTTGTGTGGTGTCCACTTTGTCCCCTTCGCCGCAGGTATTGCCCTCGGAGTACCCCTTTGGCGCAGCCCCCTGTGGAACAGTTAGCCTTCAAGGGAAGGCAGGGGCAGATCATGGGCATTCCCCGCCATCCAAGGAGGCTTCCATGCATGCAGAGCCGGCACATGGCGCTCTGGTTCTGGGCTCACCCAAGGAATCGTCACGTCCTGCACATGTCTGCTTAACCTCACAACCGTATCAGGCCTCCCGCTCGACAGGGGCTGCGCCCTCTGGAAGTCAGCGGGGAGCAGCCCGTGGGTTTTGGACTTTTGTGACCACACAGATAGGTACATTCTTTTTTCTTCACACGTTAGATTTCTTTGACGAGCCGTTAGCCCGACAGAATTTTACATCCTGCATCAGGCATATCGTTATCAGTTTTGTCCCAACACTCGGGCGAGTGGGGTCTTTGGGTGTGGACATTCGGTCTTTTTCAGTTCAATACAAATTTTGATGGTCAGATTTTGATCCGTATGATCTAGTTTTGTCGGACAATTAGGCTTAGCCATCTGATGGTTGGTTGCTGTTGTGGTGTACCTCAGCGCGGTGACGACGACACTGAGGGTTAACCGAGGATGTACAAGGATGGCCAGCCTATGGATGGTTGCTGTTGTGGTGTACCTCAGCGCGGTGACGACGACACTGAGGGTTGACAGAGGATGTGCAGTGAACAATGTTCTCTTTACTCCGCAGTCTTTTAACCAAGGGTTGTAATTTTGGCTGTACGTTTGGTAGACCTACTCATGTTCCTAATGAGTTTTGGTAACATTTTTCACCCGTTTGGGGGCGGGCTGAAGCGTTTGGGGGCACAGTTTATACATGTAGTTAGAGATTGGGAGATGTGTCAGCACACAGTTTGTACATATAGTTAGAGATTGAGAGATGTGTTAGCACACAGTTTATACATGTAGTTAGAGACTGGGAGATGTGTCAGTACACAGTTTATATATGCAGTTAGAGATTGGGAGATGTGTTAGCACACAGTTTATACATGTAGTTAGAGATTGGGAGATGTGTTAGCACGCAGTTTGTACATAAAGTTAGAGATTGGGAGATGTGATAGCACACAGTTTATACATGTAGTTAGAGACTGGGAGATGTGTTAGCACACAGTTTATACATATAGTTAGAGACTGGGAGATGAGAAGCTTGATCACACATGCCAGTCAGCAAGACACTTAATGACATTATTTTCACCAACATTCATTTTTTTTCATTTTCATAAACATTGTGCCCAACATCCTTGTAGTCATGAATTTAAGCCCCTCGCCCCTCACCTTAACGCATAATTTTTAATTCGTCCACATGGTTCTGATATCAACTTAATCTCATAAATGGATACTGGATACTCTTCGCTGGCTGATAAAGAAGGGGACGGAGTCCCGAATGCTGTGATGTCGATTCTTACTTAAACATTCAACCTTATACCAGAATATTTTCTGCTGAAGTCGGATGACCGGATTAATACTGACATTTTTCTTTGAGAAGCATTCAGTCATGAAAATATTATCATTTAATTCCAGTTCGCCAGATTGGCATGGAGAAGAAGTAATTTACCCCATAATGGTAATGTTAATACCCCTAGTGTGTGAATAGTTATAAAGTGCAGTTAGCTTAAGGCAATCTCAGATGTGGTGAATTTCTGCTGTGAAGAATATTTTGTTTATCCCCAGCAATTTGTATTACTTGAAATATTATCTGGATAAGAGAAATTTCTGATAATAAAGAACTTTATCCTGGGTCCCTGGTGAGCTCTCCTTACCAAATCTGCACTGTACCTTCAGATATTCTTGGTGAAATAATGGAGTGATGTGTTCAGTTCCTTTCCTTTCCGATAAAATTCAGGAAATGATATCATATTCCTTTTATTTGGCTGAATTGATCACAAAACCAGAACAAAAATTCTGGCACACTTGGTAATGACCAAGTATCCTGTCTCTGTAAGCAAGCACACAGACTGATTTGCCACAACAGCTCCATTCTACCTTTGACCTTTACATATTTTCTGATGTTAACCAGTTGTCTTTAATCGTCCAGGTGGACCACACAATCATCACATACTTGATCAGCCCAAAGGGAGACTTTGTCAACTACTATGACCGCAGCAGGACAGCTGAGCAAGTGACAGAGTCCATCAAAAGGCATATACACAAATATAATGAGATAGAACGTCGCCGGCAGTGATTTCCCTAACAAGCTGGGTGTTATTGCATATTGCAGTTATTCCATAAGTTTTTAATTGCATGTTGCAGTAAGCAGAAGGATGCAATATTAGAAAAAACAAATGACGCAGTCTTCTTTGAGGCAGATGAAAACTGTAAAATAATTATAGAAATTAAAGGTAAACCGTCAGTGTTTTGTAAACATGGTTTGAGAAGGAAGGGACTTGAGGACTTGGTTACATCTAGCAAGATTAACAGAATAAAAGCAAGGAAAAGGGAAAGAGATAAATACCTGGATGGCTGAACCATATTAATGGGGGCAAGACAAGAGCACTGACATGATCCATTATTATGGTGATCATATGAATGAAATATCAAAACATGGCGGCCTATGCATATCTGCAGGGCACATGATGATGGTTAATGTCTCACTAGGATGTCTGGATTTGTTGTGATTTTTGTTGAGATGTATAAACAATTCTATTCTTGAACTGTACTTATTTCATAAATTTTATGATTATTAATAATGACAATATTTCTATTGTTTTTAAAACAATTGTTTTGGAGTTGATTTGTTAATCCATTGTCTGTGGTTGTTTGTTCTTTCCCCCTGCTTCGCTGTTTATGCTGAAATAAGTATCTTGTATTTTTTAGCAAAAATCCACATATACGCTGTCTTTATGTTCTCACTTGTGATAATCTGGTAATCTTAGTTTCGACATCATAACAAAAGGATCACCCCACTGTTGCTCCGCTCCTGTGCCAGTAAAAACACACAAACTGTTCATCACTGTCCTTTGTGGAAAAATGAACATAGATTGCAGTCTCAGCATACTATTAGCATTTACACGCATTAAAAGCAAAAAAGTTCAACGTTAGAAATTCAGTTCATCATAGACAGAAGCAGCAGTTACAAACAGATCAGTGATTGCACACACGATTAATTTTAACAACATAAGGCACAATCACTGCTGTGGTAACAGGCAACTCATCATTTTCAGAATCTACAGTTCGCAACATCCCATTGGTCATAGTTGAAAAACATTCCAAATGAAATCTGCAGCTCACAGTGTTGCACCATTTACTCAACTCAGTATCTGGGTGACAAAACTATATCCTTTCAGTCTACAAATGGAGGAAAATGTAATGACCACCATCTGTCAGAAGCAAACATTTTTGAAAACTAAAAACAGTAAACATGTCTATCCTCAATTTTTAACGGAAGCTAATTTGTTGTCTTGTACTAAAGAGCCCTCACATACTTACTTACATCTGTTGTACTATAGAAAGGAAATAGCTAATGAAACCAAGTACCATGCACATGTTCAAACACTATAAAGTATGTATAGGACCCATGTTTTTACATATTTATACCACTCAGTCAACATCATGCCAACCTTCTTTACTTCCCAGGATATAACATAGTACCCATTTTAGGCTGAGTTGACCTGGTAGGCAAGGTCAAAAGGAAAATGAGATCTGTATGTTATGAATTTGAACCCAAAACCTTCCAGCTGGCAGGCAAGCATCTGCACATTCCATGTCTGTAATAAATATGTATGAAACATCTGGTGTTGTTAGCATTTACTAATCACTCTTACCTTCATTATGTAGTTTTCTTGATGCCTATAAGCTGTTCCATTCGACACTTGATTCTGCCAAACTACACTCACATTACCTCTGAAGTTTGTGAGTTAGCACTCTTGGCCCCTCCAGACTCCGCTATTTAACACTCACCGTCTCTCCAAAAGCCATTATTTAATTCTTATAATCGGTAAAACTCCACCATTTAACACTTGGCCTCTTCAAACTCCAAAGCTGAACACTGTTGGTCCCTCAAACTCCATAACTGAATACTTAACAAAAAGAATAAGGATGGTAACAGTAATATTCAACAATCTGAAATAGCTTCTCACAACTAAACAGCTAGGTTAGGAAATAAAACTGATCAAGACATGAATTGATTAAGGGCCATTTATGACACGAGAGCTCGATGAGAATGGGAAGGCCTGCATTAGGATTTTGTTCACACTTTTGCCTGTGAAGAAATATGGGAATTTAAAAAAAAAAAAAACGGCTCTTGGGTGAGCGCAGACAATGAAAAAAAATTAAGAAAGAAGAAGAAGACTGGCATTAGATGATGATTTCCCACCAACCTCTACATCTTCCCTCTAATCAAGCTCTATGAATTTACTCCTTAGAGATAAATTAGTGACACGTAAAGTCGTGGAAGGGGTGTCAAGACAAACTATGGCGGGTAGGTTTTGGCATGAGACAATGTTTCTGTGGCAAAGTGGTCAATCCTCCCGCTCTGAAGGTCATGGGTTCGTTTTATGGCTGCGCTGTTCAGTTCACAAGTGCAATTTTTACGGAGATCTCTGGGGAATCGTGCTGTGGAGTTCGTGCTCTGTGTGGCGCTCTTGGCAGGCGGCTAGCTGTTCTGCGAAGAGAGACCGAGCCATATGGGATTAAACCCGGTGAAATGAAGTCAATCTTCTCAAATTTATCCTTTGTGCTCGAATCCATCCATCCATTTGTGAAAAACAAACTACCTTGTTCAACCTACTAGGAGCAGTATGGGTTATAATCGTGGTCTGGTTTCTTTGTGCCACTTATGTTGGCTTAGAAATGTTAATGGCACTTAAACTAGTGGCTTGGACTGGTACTCTAGCACCCAGAGACAGGGCTGCCAATGGGATTAAAAAAAAAACCCCAGCTAAGCTGAACAAAAACCCAAGCAATACTGAAGAAAAAAAAAAAATCTAGATTGTTAAAAAGTAAACATTTTATAGTTACGAAACGAAACATTTACCCACTTTTATATAAGGATATATTTAAAACTGTTCTTTGTCCACATAATAAGAAGAGAGACATTGGAGAAAATCGTGACAACTGGAAAGTTAGGTGGAAATAGGGGTAGAGGCTGACTGAAAGAGATGATGCTGGATGGGCTGAAACTATGGCATGGAGGAATATCATCAAGAGAGCTGTTTCAGGCAACCAGGTATCGTGATCTGTGGAGGCGCCTGAGCACCTAGGCCAGTTGGAAGGGAATATAATGATGATGAAATATTAAAAAAAAAAACAGATTTCAAAATGTGACCCCAAGGCGTCATTTAAAAACCCAGAACTGTGGGAACCAACCCAGTATTGGCAGCCCTTCCTAGAAAGGGTTGGAAGGAGCTCCAGAAGAAGCAGAAAAGAAGAGGTACGACGGCATACAAGAAAACATTCGCCACTTTAATAAAGCGGAAGTAGTACGACCGGTCGTCTGCTAAAGTTATGGAGAGATTGTCTCACGTCTCCTTCGGGTTGTGTTCCTCTTGTGTCAGCACCATTTCCCGAAATATGCAGTCTATATGTCTGAGACAGACGGGTGTATATTTTAGTACCAACACACAGTTACTGAAAAGTCCAGTGTCTCGATCTCTGGACATGTTACGTTTTGTGAGCGGGTTACAATTGAAATATCCTGCTCGACAGAGGGTAGGCGAGTTGTCGATGAACTTGAAAAACAGCGACCTGCTTGGTAGTAGTCAGTACAATTTAACGGCAGACCTGATATTTTATAAGAAGCTCAGTAATTCATGTTTACGCCGGTTGAGTTCCTTTAGTCACCTTACATATTTTTATACGGTAAGTCAAAATACCATGTATTGGCTTGACTTGTAAAGCAGTTTTGGGCTCTTCTTTCAATACGGGCCGGTAGCTGGAAAGCCGCAGATCGGCTTAGTGGGAGTTCTCTTCCTTGGCTGCATTGCAAACACGAAGCGGAAAAGTCATGAATCGAATGACATACTTATTTATCAACAGACGGTTGCGTGTACGGTGGCGTAGGGTTTGGGTTAGGGTTAGGGAAAGGGTTAGCGGCGTTAGGGTTAGTTAGGATTAGGATTAGGGGTAGGGTTAGATGTGAAAATTTTGACGTAGGAGTTACAAATAATGGCCGACAATCTGATGCTTGTGGGAGTGGTGCAACTGGAATTCTACCAAATATGACGGCACTAGCGCGCGGCTGGTGCCCAATCGGTGGCGACTTGTCTACTTGAGTAGCATCCACAGTCCTTCGATTGTTTGGGTGTGTATGTGACTGTGCGCGATTATTTGGAACTCCTGCGTCAAAATTGTCACATCTAACCCTAACCCTAACCCTAACCCTAACCACGCAAATGTATTGGTCATTAAGTCATACAGATCTGCAGGAGTCACATCCGTGGCAACTAATACCACTTTTATATAAGGATATATTTACTTTAAAAAAAACCCAGATTTCCCCCGAAGCGTCAAATAAACACCCAGATGTGGGGGATACACCCAAGCATTGGCAGCCCTGTTGTCGACCTCACTGTCTTTTTTGATTTGTGACTTTTCCGCTCCGTGTTTGCAATGCAGCCAAGGGAGAGAACTCCCACTAAGCCGATCGGCGGCTTCCCAGCTACTGGCCTGTAGTGAAAGGAGAGCCTAGTTTTGGACCCTTCCTGTTTCCTCGCCTTGATGCATATCTTATTTCTTCTTCTTCTTCTTTTGCCCTACTGCTTGTGCTGTAACCGTTGCATAGAATGAATAGAGGTGTTAGACTTAGCTTTCTTTCGTTGCTGGTTGCTTAGCTTTTATTAATATCAAATTGCGTTTCTATAGTGTCTCTAGCTATCCTCCGAATAACGGTCCCAAAACATCAAGGCCGAAAATATGCCCTATCAGGGCCTCAGTCACATGTAAATTGCAGATTTCCAGTGACTACCGCCACCGGCGAGAGTATCTTCTGTGGCGCTTAGCGGGGCTAAACTAGATGGCTGGGACTCACGAGCAAAAAAAAATGGAGGAAGCTGCATGAGTTGCCGTAGCTGCTGTTCGTGAGTCCCAGCCATCTAGTTTAGCACGCGCTGTGCGTTGCGGCATGGAAGATACTCTCGGCAGTGACTTTAACTCGGCGGAAGCTTTTTCGCGGTATCCTGTGTAGTTGCCGGAAGAGATCCGCACCTCGATAATTTGGGACCGTTAACCTGTGGATAGACCAAATGTTTATGGTTTAGGAATTTTACTGTGTACAGTATTATAAAAATTAGGAAATCACACAGAATATTGGCTTTCCATCACATGTATACACCTCTTAATGATGCTCTATCTAGACCAACAAGCAGCCGTTAGAATAGATGGCGAGACATCAAACTGGTTTGAAGTCAGGCAAGGAGTCCGTCACGGCTGTGTGCTGTCACCCTATTTGTTTACCCTGTACACCGAGAATATAATGAAAAATGTCAGAGATGATATAACCAGAGAGCAATATGATGCCCTAAATATCGGTGGTCATAAAATACCAGATATCTGGTATGCAGATGATACAATATTGCTATCCACATCACAGACTGGTATAGAAAACTTAATAACCTCAACCCAAAGAAATAGTGAAAATCACAACTAAAATCTTAACAAAAACAAAGATAATGCATGCAGATAAAACTACTGTGGAGAAATAAATATATGTCATTGAGGAAAGATTGGTGGCTGTGGAAAATTGTTAATATCTTGAGCCATTGATTACCAACAATGGTGAGACAATGAAAAAAATTAAATTACGACTATCAGTTGCTCTTCAGAGACTAAAACAAGTGATTAAATTAGGGAGTGGGACAGACAGAACTACAAAAAAAATTAGATTTCCAAGAGCATCCTTCCCATTGCAACATACGCTTGTGAGACCTGGATACTTAAACAAGCTGAACAATGAATGCATCAGTGCCTTTCAATACAAATGTTATAGACGGGTTCTAAAAAAAATAATGGGTAAAGAAAATAATAAATGCGTCCATACTTCAAGAACTGAATATTGAAGAAGGTTGGCTATTAAAGATGATAAAACATAGAAAATTGAAATATTTTGGTCACTGGAAACATCACGAAGTTTAGAGAGAACAATAATGGAGCGGTATATCAAAAAAAGGAAATCTAAAACTATGCTCCAACTACCGTACCATCGAATTAATAAGTCATGCTAGCAAAATCCTCTTACGAATTATCATGAAAAGGATTGAAAGGAAATTACAATATGAGCTAGATGAAGCACAAGCAGGTTTCAGACAGGGTAGAGGAACTAGGGATCACATCTTTAATCTGAGAATAATTTTTGAAAAATGCAGAGAATACAACGTAGATCTTTGTTTTATTGATTATAGCAAGGCATTTGATTGTGTCCAACATCACAAACTGTGGACTATTATGAAAAGTATGGGGTTTCCAGCGCATTTAGTGCATTTAATTGAAAATCTTTATCATGAACAACAAGCAGCCATAAGAGCAGCTGGTGAAACATCTGATTGGTTCGAGGTGCAAAAGGGGGTGAGGCAGGGGTGCATTCTCTCACCATACCTATTCAATATATACGCAGAAAATATAATGAGAAATGTCAAAAATGACCAGACTTGTAACAGTTATGATCCGCTCAAAATTGGTGGCAACCCTATTCCGGAACTCTGCTACGCAGATGACACAGTCCTCCTTTCGAACAGCGTAAAGGGAATAGAAAATTTAATATTGTCTGTCCAAAAGCACAGTGAAGATCAAAATCTGTTCTTGAATTTAAAGAAAACGAAAATAATGTCCACAGATAAAACTGACTGTCACCCAAAAATAACAATAAATGATGAAGAAATTGAAAATGTCACAAACTTTGAATATCTAGTCTCTATAATAAACAACAATGGAGATTGTTCAACATAAAATAAAAGGAGGAAGGCCATAGCAATGCAAAGATTGAACAGCCTTAAAAGTCTATGGTTAAGCACCAGCAAGGAGATCAAAATTAGAATTTTGAGAGCATGCATCTTCCCTGTGGCTACATACGGATGTGAGTCGTGGACTATCTCTCAGTCCTTGAGAAAGAGAATAGGGGCTTTTGAGCTGAAATGCTATAGAAAGATTCTCAGAATATCTTGGACAAAGAAGATGAGAAATATTGACATCTTAAAAGATCTGAACATCAAGAAAGATTGGCTAATAAACAGCATCCTTTCTCGAAAGCTGAAATATTTTGGTAATATCAAGCGCCACGACGGATTTGAAAAAATTATAGCAGAAGGCATGGTACCAGGAAGGAGGGGCAGGGGCCGACCGACACGAAGATGGGCACAGGATATAGGTGACTCCTTGAATGTGAAAGGGCATGAGGTGGGAGAACTGGCGAGAGACCGAGTTTCTTTCAGGCAGACTGTGATGAGAGCGACGTTCTGCAAAGGACCATGATGATGATATGCCTGGGAAGAGAGGAAGAGGAAGACCAAAGAGAAGATCAGTACAGGATGTGTGGGATGATCTCCAGATGGGTGTATCGGATGTGGGACATCTTGCTTCTGATCGAGAAATTTTCCAGAAGGTTGTTATGGGAGCAAGGTTCTGCAAAGGACATGCTACTGACACTGATGCTAGCTCCATTGTCATGTAGACCAGTCTTCATTCGTTGAGTATTTGGTCAATGCCACATCTACAGTGATACATCTTCTTCTTCTTCGCGTTCACCGGCTGTAAACTTCGGCAGACAGTTCTATTTGTTCATCCACCTCTAGACATTTGTATTATTCCAGAACCTGAGTGTTACATGCACACCTGTTTTACAGATTGTATGCAGATTGCTGGTTCTTTGCCTCTCAGGCAGATGTACTCCGACTTTGAAGAAAGCCCCCAGTTAGTCGACCCTTACAACATGATTGCTACAGGGGCAGGGGGTCTCTTCTTGTTTTTTTCCCCACAGTCTGTCCCCGGAACCCACACAGGGAATCTCAAGGGTATAATCTTCAAAACCTTTCATTTTACCAAGTTTCGACTGTAAGGACCAAAGGAGCCTCATCCTTCTCAATCAGAATAATCCTGTTTTATCTTCAAGTTTGTTTGTTTGTTTGTACAATGGATCAATATCATGGCACAAGGGTGGTAACCCATAAGTACTCCCTTTTACTTCTAACTCAAGTCCAAGTCCAAAGAATCTCAGCGCAGTACATGAACTCCGTACCACAGGCGAAGATCCTAAAATACTTTGGGTAGATTTTCAACTCCAGATTTTGCTCGAGCAGCTCCGTTAGGCTACTCTTTTTGATTTCCAACTGCCAAGGAATTTTTCACATGCGCAACAGTACACAGGGCATCTGGTCTTACTATGCAAAGACCAGGGGAAATTTACTAGAAGTCCACGTGAAAAAATTCCCAGCCTTTACCGGGTACTAAACTCGGGACCTCAAGCACTCGAGGCGGACGCCATGCCTTGAGACCACTCAACCCTCATCTTAAAGTGTCATGTCAAGAAGAGATATTTGGTGAGAGCTCTCCTGTATGTTCAAAGTATAGTCATATTTTTGCTTTAGATATTTGGTAAGGTGATTTTGTAATTAGTTTTATTGAAATTTTATTACATTCCTTTTCCATGCAAGTAACACTTTTTGTGTGACATTGTGTGACATTCACATAACATGTATGTATATATAAAATTTCAGAAACAAACAGTCCCGTTGTTGAAATTGAACACTCCTGTCTTCTCAGCCCAGCTGTACAGCACCAGCACATCCACACCCGACCCTCAGAAACCATCACCGAAGACAGCCCGTCTGTCTGCAGAGAAAGTACGTTCCTGGTTCTCTCTAAAGAAAATCATTTTTTTATTATGTAAAACATTGATTTATTGTAAGAACATGAGGCGCATCATCTTTGTGGTTGAGTGGTGATATACCTGCCTACTGCTGTGATTATAATGGGCATGATCTTTATGTCAATCACCACACTGGATCTAGTTTCATACATCAAGGCTGAAATCCTGCAGCTATGATTTAGCCTAGAATGACTACAATAAAGATGGTCAGACAAAGCAAGACTGGAGGTGTTGGTATGTTTTGTTCAAATGTATCAGACAGTAAAACCTTATATTATACTTCTTTGAGTAGAATTGGCTGATAAGGAGAAAAAGATATGTTTTATCCAAGTGTATCAGACAGTAGACTCTTATACAACTAAGAAAAGAATTGACTGACAGTGAAAGAAAGAAAAGGTGAAGTTCCATTACTGGTCTTGCAAACCCTGCAAATTTATTTTAGCTTGGAGAGGAGAATGAGAGCTCTGCAATACAGTCCTCATGGAAATGGTCATTTGACCTACGCCAGCCTCAAAGTCGTGCTGGTGGGGGGGGGGGGGGGAATTATCCTGCTTGGGCTATGGATTGATCCTTGGTAATGTCTTGCCAGGCAAGTGCACTGCAAAGGTTCTTTTATTATAACATGTAGGAATTTTCTGTAACATGTGTTTTTGTTCTGTAACATGTAGGAATCTTCTGTAACATGTAGAAATGTTCTCTAACATGTAGGAATGCTCCGTAATGTATAGGTATGTTCTGTAACATGTAGGAATCTTCTGTAACATGTAGAAATGTTCTCCAACATGTAGGAATGCTGCGTAATGTATAGGTATGTTCTGTAACATGTAGGAATCTTCTGTAACATGTAGAAATGTTCTCCAACATGTAGGAATGCTGCGTAATGTATAGGTATGTTCTGTAACATGTAGAAATGTACTCTAACATGTAGGAATGTTCTCTTCCAAGTAAGAATGTTCTCTAACATGTAAAAATGTACTGTAACATGTAAGAATGTACAGTAACATGTTGGAATATTCTGTAACATGTAGGAATTTTATGTAATGTGTAGGAATGTTCTGTAACGTGTAGAAATGTACTATAACATGTAGGAATGTTCTCTAACATGCACATATGCTTCGTAACATGTAGGAATATACATTAACATGTAGGAATGTTTTGTAAAATAACATGTAGAAATGTTCTATAACATGTATGAATGTTATATAACAAAGGAATGTTATATAATATGTAGAGAAGTTCTCTAACATATAATGTTCTGTAACTTGTAGAAGTGTTCTCTAATATGCAAGAATGTTCTTTATCATGCAGCAGTGTTTTTTAACATGTAGGAATGTTCTATAATATGCAGAAATGTTTTTTAACATGTAGGAATGTTCTGTAATATGCAGAAATGTTTTTTAACATGTAGGAATGTTCTGTAGTATGTAGGAATGCACTGTAACGTGTAGGAATATCTATAACATGTAGGAATATTCTATAACGTGTAGGAATATTCTATAACATGAAGAAAAGCTTCTTGTCACAGTTTATGTTAAATACATAGAATATTTATGATGTGTTGCTGTCCTCTCAGCTGATCTCATGGAAGAGTGTGTTGTTGCTGGCAAGTGTAGGTGTTCTCATCGTCCTGGCAGTGCAACTGTTGAAAGCTCAAAAGGAATTGGGTAAGTAAATTTCATTCCACTTTTAGCTAACACACATGTGCGCGCGTGCGCACATGCACAGTAATGGCTGCTGGACTGAAAAAGCTCATGAAGCTAAGTCTTTATCTTTTTCTTCTTCACTGCCCCTTTTGCCACTTCCGGTGTTGTAGGAGATATAAGGTTTTAATGAATACAATGAGATAAAGTGATATTTATAAACCATCCGCTGATGTTGGTAAGTCAAGGATGGGGTTGTGAGGTGATTTTACTAATTACTAAGCCACATGAACTCCAAATTTGTGTTACCTGTAATCATTCAGTTTTATTGTAGCATGAGCTTGTAAACAGGTGATTTCTGAGAACTGACTTAAGAGTTCTTTCGTCCATGGACATTGGATAAGTCTGTTGACATTGACTTACCTAAAACCTGTGGTAAATTAGGTAAGTAAAGGACCTTTTCCCACACCTTTAGGCATATAGGGCTAGACCTATATTTTATACACCAATTGGCACATGGTGGGTGATATGGTCAGCATCACACCGGCTGCCTTTACTTCCCAGAACTGCACCTGGTACCCACTGAAGGCTAGGTTTACCTGGGAGTCAAGGACACTTTTTAAGAAAGCCCTGTTCCATCAGGACTTGAACCCATGACCTTCTGATCCACAGGCACAGATCTAGCCGCTACACCATGCCGACTCGCAAAACCTCTGGTGAAACAATGAAATACCTCAAAACTGTTGTAAAATATGTAAATGCCTCAGACCTAAGGTGAAACACTTGAATACACCCTAACTGTTGTGAAACATTGGAATGCCCCAGACCTAAGGTGAAACACTGAAAACCCCAAAGCCGGGGTGAAACGTCTTAATGTACTTCAGTCCTAAAGAGAAAACATTTACAGTGAAATAACCAACCTAAATTCTGTGGGACAAACAGTACCAACCTAGACTTAATCTGATTCAGTCTGCAGGTGCTGTGGTGCATCATTGACTTATCACATCCTAGTACAGGCCTCTATGTTCCTCCATGGAGATGAACTTCCAGTTCTAGTCTTGTACATCTTACTGTTTTATGGGCTTGGAGAGGGGAAAGAGAACCTTGTGGAAATTGTACTTTAATATTAAGTTGGGAGAAAAGTCTGCATCAGTGTTTCAGATAAGTGCAGGCTGTTTTCATGGTCTTCACCACCTCACTGCCAGTGCATGGAACTTAAAACATTAGATATGGCAAGAAGCATGGACAGAGCTGATATCATAAACGCTGTACATACTAAGCTGGTGGATAATGTGGAATCTCTGATTGATTGATTGGCACCTTTCCGTCTTTCCAGACAAAAGTGTTAAATTCCGCTCTGAGGAGGTGCGTGGCTCACAGCCCATGGCGATAAGGACAGGGAGGAAGTTCATCCTCTTCATAGCTCAAAGCCTGGGCAGTATTGTAGAGACCATGTATTGCCCATGCATCATGATCCCTCCCTTGACCTGAATGTTGAATCTCTGACACTACCAGAATTGCATGGCCTGGCAGTGAAGCTTGGTGAAGCACATCTATGCCTTCTTTAATGCCAAGACAGCAGATACTATAACCAGCTTCTCAAGGGAACAGTCTTGGAGTGGCTGCATTTATGATAACATTAAACATTAAAATTGTCTTCCAGAAGAATCACAGCCAACCATTTCTAGGAATGAACTCTTTCGCTCCCGGGGGGTTTATCATCAGAGGCTCAATGATAGTCAAGAGAGACATAAAATCAGCACATCTTGCGTTCATTGGGCTTCTAGGTAGGAACCAGTAAAGCCATTATGTGTTCCTTGAGACTTAAAGAGTTAAACAAACTAGAAAACATACATCTCTACAGACAACATCGAAATGTTTACTTTCTTTTTGTGTGTTAGAAAGGAAGAAGGCTAGGAGTCGCACACTCGGCAAAGCCAAACTTGGAGGGGACTGGACTCTGACAGATCACAATGGTAACAGGAGGTCCAGCACAGATTTCCGTGGTCAGTGGCTGCTGATCTATTTTGGGTTCACCCACTGTCCCGATGTGTGTCCAGAGGAGCTGGAGAAGATTGTCAGTGTCATCAAGAAGACAGGTGGGTGAATACTTATGGCTCTCTGTGTGAACACCTGTGGTTGTCTGTATGAAAATGTGTGGTTGTCTGTGTGAATGCTTGTGGTTGTCTCTATAAACTTGTGTGGTTGTCTGTGTGAATGCTTGTGGTTGTCTCTATAAACTTGTGTGGTTGTCTGTGTGAATGCTTGTGGTTGTCTCTATAAACTTGTGTGGTTGTCTTTAGGAACATGTGTTGTTGTCTGGGTGAACACTTGTGATCGTTTGAATGAACATGTCTAGTTGTCTTTATGAACATTTGTGATTGGTTGAATGAATATGTCCAGTTGTCTGTATGAACACTAGTGGTTGGTTGAACAAACATGTGTGATTCAGCGCTCTTCATCATATGTCCTACAAATAGTAGTAGTAGAGACACATTGATCAACACTACATCATTTGTCCACTTTCAGATGCTGATGAGAAGTTGCCTAAGATACAGCCAATCATTATCTCAGTTGATCCCGAGAGAGACACTCCTCAGGCTTTAAAGGAATACTGTTCTGGTGAGTTTCTGATCTAGATTCAATTGTTAGGAGAATGAATTAATACTGTCTTTACCCTTGGTCTCACTGCACCATTCACATGTGACATATAAAACATAAATACAGTAACATCCACGCCAGCATGGCTGTATGGACACATAGCATGAGTTCAGGGAACACCCAGCTGTATTTTTGGGTTAATCCTAAACTTTGAAGTATGGGTTTTGGAGGTAAAACAGAATAGATTCACTGCCCTTTATCAAGCATGGCGTAAAAGTTGACTAATTAGGGGAGGTTTTCTTCATAGTTGGAGTGTATCTGTCTGAGAGGCTTGGAACTACATATAAATAAGCCAGGTCTGTAAATTGAACGTGTTGTGAGACTCAAGTTTTAGAACAGGAATAATGTCCCGAAGTGGATGAACAACTTGAACTTTCTGCCGGAGTTTAAAACCAATAAACGCTAAGAAGAAGCAGAAGAAACTTTGAAATGGGAAGCTCAAAATAGAGTTACAAGAGGAATCATAGTATCTGATTCTCATATAGTGTTGCCTAAGCTCAAAATAGAGTTTATAAGAGGAATCATAGTATCTGATTCTCATGTGGTGTTGCCTAAGGTTCAGAGTGGACAACTGTGGCATGAGTGGATACCTAGCCTGACCACTTCCAAATTACAGGAACTCATGTGGATATACTCTGCAGGACATGCAGAAGTGCGAGGTCATAAAAGAGCAAATTTGTTGGCTACTAAAATGGTAGCTACAAGAACACTTGTAATCGACAAGGCAGACATTCTGATGACCATTTATGTTGGAAGGTACAGTGTTAGTTACAATTAAGTGTGGATCCAGCAAGAGAGAATCTGCAGTTGAAGAGTACAGGGTGTGTTAACTCTAGTGTGCTACACCTTAAGACATTTGCTGCAGTAGACGGGGAATCATTAAGCATGCTATAAATGCTAGGGTGTTGACTCTTAAAATCATCCGTCAATAATCTTATAAGTTACTTTTTGATGAACTCTCACATTTATGAGGGTGCTCCACACACACACACGCACGCACGCACACACACAATTTTTCCATTTGTAATAGAAATTCAGTGTATATGAAAATGTTAGCTACCTGTATCCGTAATATGATGAACACGTTTACTGATTCAGAGTTCTCTCCCCGCTTGCTGGGTTTCACTGGAAGTCCTGAAGAGGTTCAGCAGGCCACACATGCATATCGAGTGTACTTTAGCGCTGGTCCAAAGGATGATGACAACGACTACATTGTAAGTGTTTATTCTATAAATAATGTGCCTGGTAGGCTAATTTTGCCAGAAAGGTGGCTGTATGGCCTACCATTTCTGATTCTCTACTATCATTGTATTTTTAATGATTACACTGTAAACTCCTGATATCTGTCTAAAAAAGACTAAGCATCTCAGTATTACTTCTCAGGAAATATTGGAACACAGCATAGGAAACATAGGTTTTTTGGGGAAGACAACATAAGAAATGTGTGTTTTGGGGGGGAGACAACGTAAGAAATGTGTTTGGGGGGGGGGGGGGGGGGGGGGGGGGGGGGGGGGTAGACAACATAAGAAATGTGTGTTTTGGGGGAAGACATAAGAAATGTGTGTTTTGGGGGAAGACAACATAAGAAATGTGTGTTTTTGGGGGAAGACAACGTAAGAAATGTGTTGGGGGGGGGGGGGGGGGGGGGTGGGAGACAACATAAGAAATGTGTTTTGGGTGGAAGACAACATAAGAAATGTGTGATTTGGGGGAAGACAACATAAGAAATGTGTGTTTTAGGGAGAATACAGCATAGGTCCCCCTTGGGAAAACAGTGTAGGAAACATGGGTTTTTTGTGTAAGCAACATAGAAAACATGGGGTTTTTGGAAAGACAACATAGAAAACATGTGTTTTGTGGGAAGACAACATAAGAAATGTGTGTTTTTGGGAGAAGACAGCATAGGTCCCCCTCTTGGAAAACAGTGTAGGAAACATGGGTTTTTTGTGTAGGCAACATAGAAAACATGGGTTTTGTGGGAAGACAACATAAGAAATGTGTGTTGTTGGGAGAAGACAACATAGGAAACACAGGTTTTGGGGGGAAATGGTGTAGGAAATATGGGTTTTTTGGAAAGGCATCATAAAAAATGGGTTTTTTGGAAAGACAACAGAAGAAACATGGGTTTGGAATAAGACAAAATAGTAAACATTAGTTTTTGGAGAAAACAACACCAGAAAATAAGGATTTTAGGAGAAGAAAATATAGGAAATCTAGGTTTTTGGGGAAGACAAACATAAAACATGTGTTTTTGGGGAAGAAAATATAGGAAACATAGATTGTTGGGGAAACCTGGGTTTGGTAGGCAACATAGCAGACAACATAGATTTTTGCAAAAAATAACATAAATCGTTTCTCAGAGAAGACATCATTTGAAACAGTGGGTGAGAGAATTTTGATTTGACTAATGTAACCCAATAATGATACTGCTCTTGTGCATTTTAAATGAAAATAGATATCTAACAGAGGCCACTTAATAACATATAAAATTATCTGGAAACATTGACCTCACTATCTTCACTGTTCCTATATGCCAGGTTGACCATTCCATCATCTCCTACCTGGTTGACCCCGAGGGTCAATTTGTGGAGTACTTTGGTCAGAACAAGACTGTCGAGAACATCTACAACTCCATCCAGCTCAACGTGGCCTTGTACAACAAGAATCACAAGTCTACCTAGAGATTGCCACACTCGCCAACGGTTTTCCCTGACCTTTGGTAGGTTAGAGACTGAATGAAGTGGCATACACTTCATGTTGAAAACAGCAAGAAGCATGTGTTCCATTCATAGAGGAGAGAAATTCTTATGCTGTGTTCTGTAGTGCTGAGTGTATTGACAACTACCAGACATCCAAGCGTTTTATTTTCTGTACTATTACTGTATCAGACAGTGATCAGGGGCTTTATCCACAATCACGTGTAGTTTTGCTAACTCAATCACTTTCCTAAATTTGTTATTAAAAAAAATTGAATAATTGTTTTTTCTTCTTGTTTGTCTCTTCCTTCTGTTTCACCAGTATCCCCATTCTTCTCTCTTCTTCTCGTTTTTCAGTATTATTCTTTTTCTGTTACTCCTCATTCACCATTGTAAATATTTTTTCTTCTTGTTCACTTCTGATTTTTATTTTATCTTGTCCATCTTCCATCCCACTCCCCCTGTTTGAGCAGATTACACATTAGGACTGTGGAAGAAGACTAATTTAATTAAAGGAGTTTTCCAGAAACTAGTCTGAAATAGAAAAAAAAAGAAGGGCTCAGATTCAGTGGAAGACAAGCACGTGTATGACAAAAAACATTTGGCCATAAACAAATATAAGCATCAACTTCATCACCAGCGCCTGCTGCACACTTTAGAGCTTCTTCTTTTTCTTTGTTCACTGGCTGTAAGCTCCAGCGGAAAGTCCTGGGTGTTCCTCCATTTGGACTTTGGCTTTGTGCCAGGGCCTGAGTTTTGCATGTACATCCATTTTTATTTGTTTGTAGTTGGTTGTTCCTTGCTGCTTTGGTAGATTTACTCTGACTTTGAAGGAAATTCCCCAGTTAGTCAACTACTACAACATGATTGATGGGGAGGCAGGGGGTCTGTTCTGATTTTTCCCCTCGATGGAGCGCCAGAACCCACACAGAGGTCATAGAGGGAACTTTAGAGCTAAAAATTAACTCTTTGTTTGCCGCAAGGTGTACCCTGAATATATTTAAAGCCTCTACAGGTATCACAGATAATCTTTATACATATACTGCACTTTAAAAACACTAAAGTCACATCGGTCTTCCCTGATAGTGTCTCAGCTTTGCCTTGGTGGAGGAGCTTGCATTTCTCAATGACCCTGAGAGCCATGCAGGTGGTAGCAGCACAGCTACCAGCCGGGTCTCCAAAGCTGGACAGGTCAAAGGTTGAGAATGGACAAAGACACCTTGGTCCTCCGGGTTGTTGGTTGGAGCGTGGGCCCCCCGTCTTTCCACCCAACCTTTGTAAAACTTCAGTTCATCTAAACCAAGAATTTGGATGGAGGTGAACAGAAGCAGGTGATATCGGCAGTAGTATGTATCTTAAGGGCCTGAAATGCTGCCGAAGAAAACGTCATCTAATTGTCAAGGACCACTGGTTGATATGTATGCAACAGTTGCATATTTATACATTTCTCACAATGTAAAAATAAATAAGTAAGACTTGCAAACAGATGTTGTGTTCATGAATTTTCTACAGATCTGTAGGACAAATATTCATTTATATAATTTGTATCTTTTACCCTGAGGTGTGGAAGGACATTAGAACCTTGTTTATTTCCCTCTTCCCGCCATGGAATACTACAACATTCTGACTTGTGATGAGTCTGTTCAGCTTCTGGTGCCTACAGTTCATGGACTGTATATGGTCAGATTGAGTTGGTGATATTTGTTGCCAAATGAAGTCAGAGTAATGTTAGATTCTAAGGTTGGGGTCCTTTGACCCTCACCCTTAACCCCTTCGCCCTGTAAATGCTTTAAAAAAAAAAACTCATCGTAGGAATTCTTGGAAGAAATTCATTTAAAAAATCATGCACGTAACTAAACAATTTTGAAAACCAATTACTTATCTGAATCGATACATTTTTTGGGGGTCGGACATTTTTTAAGAGATCATCAGTAAACGTGAACGGAGTAAAGCATTAAATGAAATACATCTCCTGGGGTATTAAAAAAATGTATCGGATGACATCCCATGACTTCGATCACTGAGGCTTTCAGGAAGTTGACATGAACTTGGCTTTCAAATAGCTATTCAAATTATAAGGTAACCACTCGGAATGCTATTTCTATTTCTATGTTCATATCCTAGCCAAGTAAATACCGCACAGGCATACATGGGACCTGTTCAGAATTTACACTTTTTAAGAACAGGTCACTGTAGACAGCAATGTATCAGCATTTATGGGCTGTATCACAACAGGAAGTGACTGAGTTTGGGCTTCTCAGGGAGACAGGATTAACCCTCTCAGGAGCAGACAACTCACCATATGTTTTTGATTGCTCAGTAAATGACATATATAACTTCTTTAGTATTTTTCTTCAACTACCTTCATCCTTTTTATCACAGCAGCTACTCCAACTTATCCTGGTTTGTATTGTACAGTTTTTGTTCACTGAGACTGGATGACTGCTTCTCTAAATTTCATAAACATGGAGTTAGAAAGTGCTAAAGTTACAGCTGAAAAAGTTAAAGCGCAGTGGTATTGTGGTTTACAGCTAACCCTGTGTATTTCGTTCCAAGAATTCAATTTCAGCATATTCCCTAATTAGTCACCATTCACAACATGATTGTTTAGCAGCAGTACGTCTGTCTCCCCCCCCCCCCCCCCCGACCCCAATCCTTCCCCCATTTCCTCTCCTAAAAACAAAATGGGGCCCGAAAATGTTTCGATTCTTCTTCTATTCTTTTGTGAGAAAACACAACAGGAGGTCGGTAGCCTTTATAGAAGCTATCGTGCAGTTTGTATCTTCTCCTGTTCAAATCTCGGGTACCATACAGCTTTGTCTTCATTGTGCTTTGAACAGGCCAGATAGCATCTGTTTTCAGCATACAGTCGACAGTGTTGGGGCACATCAGTTTTCACTTGTCAAGAACTGATTAAAAGACTTATGTTAATAAATTTCTTCTGTTATTGTAACAGGAATTGCCATGGTAAAATTAACATTTTGCAACAGGGAAAACAACATAGGGGTCTCTGGGGCAAAGGGGTCAGGCTGTTTGCCTTGCGCTGTGAAACGTGTGGGTTCATTTCATGAACGCATTGTTCAGGTCACAAAAAACACTTTTTTTTTACAGAGATCCCTGGGGTTCATCGCTGGAGCTGTGGAATTCATACCTTGTGTGATGCTCTCGGCAGCTAGCTAACCTCTTGTACAGGGAAAAACCGAGTAGTATTTGGGATTAAACCTGATGTAATGTTTGTTGTTGTTTGTGTTCACCAGCTGTAAACCTCAGCGGAAATACCTGGTTGTTTGTCCACTTCTGGAATTTGGCTTTGTTCCAGGACCTGAGTTTTGCGTTTGCATCCGTTTGACAGATCTTGCTTATTTGTATGCAGACTGTTGGCTCCTTGCCTCTCAGGTAGATGCACTTTGACTTTTAAAAAAGAGCCCCTAATTTTTTTTTTACTCTTACGATATGCCTGTTGGGGAGGCAGTGGGTCTATTCTTGTTTTCCCTACAGTGGAACCCCAGAACTCCCAC